CAGAACAAGACCGTTCGAATATTCATATATTGAACTAATAAACATAAATAAATAAGAATGCGAACAAGCGATACGATGGCGAATGTGTAGCAGTGCTGCTGTTTGAAATAAAAATTTATTGCGATTAATCCCAATAATGTGCGCGCTTTTTGCACAAATGTATATTTTATACTTATTCCAGCATTTTGTTCAACTCCATACGTAATTCGGACTCAATTTTTTTTCTCCCTTCCGCTCTATCTCAGCATCGATTCAGTCGCTGAACTTCAAAACAGCATACATTTTATTATTGCTGAAGTATTGTTGTGTTTTTGTTTCATCTGTCAATTTTCGCATACACACGATTTTTCCATCGCAAACAACAACAACACGAAAAACCGAAACAAAAATCGATCTTGATATTCTGGTCCCCGATGTTAAGCGACGATAAGCGATTTGACGATGAGTTCGAAGTATTTATGCGAAAAATCGAAAATTTATTCAACAATCATGAAATAAAAGAGAGATGAAAAAATAGAAATATATTTCACAAATATAAGAAATTCGACTAAATCGGATGGTATTATGCCTAGGAGTGCTTGAATAAAAAGAGACAAACAGAAAACATTCAAAAAGCTGCTTTTTACATCCGAAGCTCTTCTTCAAAACAAAAAAAAGACATACTATGAGACATAAACTCGATAAAAGAAAAAACAAAATTTTGTGAACTCAAATAACCCGTTACATAAAATCACGTGAAAGTGAGTGTGAGAAAGACATTTTTCCAAAATTCTTTACGAATCAAAAGCGAAAAGAAAACAAACAAAAAAAATCCGGACAATTCGGTTGCCGAAGTAAAACGATAAAGAACAATTGCGCTGACTCAAAAATTGAGGCGAAACGTTGTGCCAACAATTAGAAGAACAAACTGCAACCAATCGAAGAACGATGTTAAGTGGATTGAGTGTAAGCATAACTTTCATTTTTCTTACGATTTTATTTACTTGAGCTTTTATTTCAGCATTATTCGGCATTTTCTTTAACCCCCTTTCACTCTGCATCTGTTCGAAATAGTTTCTTCTCTATGTTTGTGTATTAAATGTTTTTTTTTTGTTTTTTCTTTTGCCATTTCGCATGTTAAAACATTGAAATAGATGTTCAAACACAAATGGTTCGTAGCAGGCCTAATGCTAACTGATAATAAAAATCGATTTATGATTACTTGAAGGATTTGTCAGTGATCGTTTAAAGCTTAACACTGCCATTTTCATTGGAAATGTATACAGCAATTGTACGCATTCAAAATAATCGTTTGGCCAAATAATTTCAATATGTCCACATTGTACAGTTCTGAATGCGAGCATCAAAGTTCGGACGAGCAAACATTTGAAATCATAATAAACCGCAAAACAACCGTTCATTTTCTGTGGGCCATTTGCCATTCGATTATTTGCTGATGAGTACATATAATTTTGGACGTTGATAAGTCGATAACATGCATTTTTTATGTTTATAATACATGAAAAAATTCAATAGCCGTGAATTCCAACACGAGAAGCGTGACGATGAACGAATGAGAGCGAGGAGTGAGGGAGCAAAAAAAAAAACGTAGAATGACCTGCAAAATCACTAGTAATCGACGAAGATTTACCTTTTAAACGACCCGAAAATAATGGACACCAAATGCGCGCGAAACGACCGAACGAATGTTCCACAGACGAAAAATGCCATTTCGGTTCGTGAAGTTTAATGGATTTATTATGTAATTGGCACTGACATTAGGGTCGTTTGACTATAACTCCCGTTTTGGCGCTTCATTTCCGATATATACATTCATCCAGTTGCTGCATCCACTCACTCTCGTTCCGACGCGTTCGTATATTCCAATCGACAGTAAGTGAGAAGAAGCGACAGAGGGAATCGTGCGGTCACACTGTATCTTATATGACACCGTATATTTTTATTTTTACACTCATAATCGTTCACATCTGAATAAAATAACGATCAGATTTAATAAATTCTAAATTAAAATCTATGGCTGGGAAAATGTAAAACGATTTTTCGGAATGGATTCTTTAGTATTGTTGATGGTGATGTATTTACGTCCAAAAATAACCGTCCAATAGGGATTGGGCCCAATTATTTTCGTTCGGTTTTCTTTCGACAATGAAAATAAAGTGCCGTTGGCGAAGAGTTATGCCATGGTTGCCAATAGTTAAATTATGATAATTTCATAGCATTTCGATGTCAATTCATTCATTCCAATACGACAGAGCATCTCATTCATGCTCTCTATTTTTCTCTTTTTTTCAATTCGGTTGCTGCTATAATCGCATAAAAATATAAAAATGAACGACGGCACAAAAGAGATAAATCCAAAATTGTTTCGGAATGTATAGTTTTTGAGTGAACGAACAAACGACGATGAGATTCGTTTTTTTTTCTTTTTCTGAGCCACCAATTCAAGACGAAACGTAAAAATGATGGTAATGAAGGCGCACTCGCGCACGTACCAAAGCAAACAAACCGTAACACACCATCGATTTCTAGTATTCATCTCGTCTCGCATCTCTCAAAATCCCTGAATAATGTATCGCGTCTACCATACTATGTGAGTGTATGTGTGTATTTTCCATTGGTTTTTCGCCCAAATAAATTTTACGATGCTCATTTTTAAACGATTCAATTTCACGTCGTCGTCGTTTCGCGCTACGTGTGACATCCAATTTATTTTTATGTTTGCATTTCTCAATCGTTCTCACCCTCACTCATTCTGTTGTGCCGATCCGGACACCGTGAACTATAGCCTCCTCGATGGATCGCACAAGGCATGTGGGGCCAGGCACATATAACGATGACGAAGAGTGTGAGCGGATGGAGTTTTCTTTTTGTAAGAGATGGGGACAAAATGTAGCGAGTGTCTGTCTTGTTAATGTAACGTTCGCGCATATTCATCGCTGTGCACGCTTTAACATTCAACCAGCAACAATCAACGCAATCTCAACGTACATGCAATCGATTTATGTGTCAGCATAAATTATCGTCAAACGAATAAATTATCAGTCATTTTCGTTTGTTGCGTTGCCAGCAGAAAAAAAAAACAACACATTTTTTTTTTTCGTTCTGACAAAAATCGAACGAATTGGCGATTTTAAGAGAAACGGAGAGAAGAATGTTGGCAGAACGAATAACGAATATGTTGCAATGTTCAAATCAGCGATTTTGCCAAATCGATCATTTTCACAACGCACCCCGGCCATAGCCAGATATCGAACGCCCCGTTTGACGTGTTTTAGTTGAGCTCGCGCTCTCGCTCACGCTCAACTATACGCAAATCAAATTTGAAAAATGACATCGATAAGACAATGTCATTATCCATCCAACTTTCAACGTTTCATTATTCCGGCTATTTTTAGCATGCACCGATGCCATCCGATGCTATAATTATTGACATTTATTGGTAAATCAAATGGAAAATAATTAGAATGGAATGCGAATGACACAAACAAGGCGAGATAAAGGGAGAGAGGGAGAAAACAGCAGCACCAACTACGTACGAACAACAGCAACAACAAAAAATATATACGAATAATAAATGCGTTTAATGTCCAACGCTCATTGATGCAATAAAAGTCATAATGGCATCGAAATGGAATGAAGTAGAACACGATAGTTTGTGCACATTTAAATTTTCGGTGTGTCAGATGATGACAACAATAAAATTCCATCACATCAACACTAATTGTTGAATGAAAAATATATTTTTTTTTGTTTTCGTGCACGTTTTTTGACACCATGAATATCAATTCCGTTATCGAATCGTTGCATTTAATCGGCAAAACGAATCAATTCAAATGGCGTTAATGCGAATGAAATTTGCACAATGCATTTGACACTGACAATACTATACGAATGTTATAGTGATTTTGACGCGTGCGAATTTAATCAAGCGATCACCAATCGCCAATTTATTCATGCTGTGCAAGTGACTAATCAATTCAAATGGTGACTGTGACAACAAGCAACTGCACATATACAACACGCATTCTAATCAAGCTTTCGTTTGCAACTCTTTTAGCAATAATTCTTTCTCATTGGACATTCCGAATTAAAATTTATTGCGATAAAATGCGCTCGAATTTAATTCTCAAATCGCATTCTGTATTCTGCTTAATTTATGGTCCGTTGAAAGTTTTTTTTAAAAAAATGTCGGAATTTCGTTGTTTTTTGTGTTAAAAATGCCTGGAAAATCAAGCCTTTAGTTGGTTATTACATAGAATAAAGCCTTGAGAATTTGAGTGGGCGAGAAAAATGTACCCACTTCGAAATTACGTCTGTGAGGTACTTCCTGCTGGCGCAAGTAGCCTTTGTTTTTGTCAAATTCCTTTGAATTTAAAAGCTCAATCGTTGTACAATGATTGTACGAATACGAATGCATGCAAAGAAAATTGCATAAGACCGGCGTGGTATGGGGTGGCGTTTTTTTTATATGTATGTGAATACATAGGTGATGACGAGGGTTGCTAGGTGTCGGATGACCCCCCCCCCCCCCCTAAAATATTTTTAGGAACCCTCAACAATTTTGGAAATGAGGACCTTTTTTTTTTTTTTTTGCTCTT